TCTTATCTTGGTGGGCAGTCCAAGTCAAATTGAAGTTCCATGGGTGTGGGAATTTTGATATCATCTTATCCTTGTGGACAGTCCAAGCCAATTTGAAGTTCCATGGGGGTGGCAATTATGATAAACATAACAACGTAGTTGCAAGTTGTGCTACTAAAGTCAACAACGTAGTTGGAACTTGATCGGGAGGAAAACAACGTATAGTTGCAAGTTCCGTCACAAGAGCCGACAACGTAGTTGCAAGTTGTGTTACAAGAGCCGACAACGTAGTTGCAATTTGAAAAGTTAGCAATGCACTTGGCAGTTGCTAGTAGAACAAACGTTAATAGCCCACCCCGCCCCACCCCACCTCATGCAAGTGGCTAGAAAGGTTAGCAACGTAGTTGGAAGTTGTTAGTAGGAAAGACGTTAATTGCCCACCCCATCATGCAAGTGGTTAGAGAAGTTAGTAACGTGGTCAAGCACGGATTCGGAAACTAAAACCATGGACTCGGAAATTAACATGCACGCGGATTCGGAAACTAAGATTCGGAAACTAAAACCGCAGATTCGGAAAGTAAGATTCGGAAACTACCAGACACGGATTCGGAAACGAGGATTCGGAACATAGAAAAAGAGGATTCGGAAACGAAGGAGGACAGGGCTTCGGAAACTGTATGATTCGGAAAATATTCGGAAACTAAAAGCGCGGATTCGGAAACTAAGATTCGGAAACTAAGAAACAAACGCGGATTCGGATTCGGAAACTAAAACATACGGATTCGGACACAAAGATTCGGAAACTAAATCACGCGGATTCTGAAACTAAGAAACACGGATTCGGAAACTAAGCTTCGCAAACTAACAGACACGCGGATTCGGAACGGAAACTATCCATAGGGAGTTGGAAACCGGGAGTCGGTTACTAAAACGTTGGAAATGCGAACATAGGGGAAAGGACTGCACATGAATATTCAGATTCAAAAGCACCAGCAAAATGACTGCAGGGTTGAGTGCCACATGTATAAGAAACTCATCAGATTTGCATCCTTTTTACCAAGAAACTCATGTTCACTTCCCTCAAGTGGTGTTGGACAGTCCAAGTCAATTTGAAGATCCACGGGGTGGGAATTTTGGGATCATCATCCTTGTGGACAGTCCGAGCCACTTTGGGTTGGTGATGTTGATATCATCTTATCCCTGTGGTCAGTCCAAGTCAATTTGAAGTTCCATGGGCGTGGGAATTTTGATATCATCTTATCCCCGTGGGCAGTCCAAGAAATTGAAGTTCCATGGGGGTGGGAATTTTCATATCATCTTATCCTTGTGGGCAGTCCAAGCCAATTTGAAGTTCCATGGGGGTGGGAATTTTGGTATCATCTTATCCTTGCGGACAGTCCAAGCCAATTTGAAGTTCCATGGGGGTGGGAATTTTGATATCACCTGATCCTTGTGGAAAGCGCACGTCAATTTGAAGTTCCATGGGGGTGGGAATTTTGATATCATCTTATCCTTGCAGACAGTCCAAGTCAATTTCAAGTTCCATGGGGGTTGAAATTTCGATATCATCTTATCCTTGTGGAAAGTCGAGGTCAATTTGAAGTTCCATGGGGTGGGAATTTTGATATCATTTTTTCTTCTTGTGGACTGTCTAAGTCAATTTGAAGTTCCGTGGGGGTGGGAATGTTGGTATCATCTTGTCCTTGTGGACAGTCCAAGTCAAACTGAAGTGCCATGGGGGTGGGAATTTTCATATCATCTTATCCTTGTGGAAAGTGCAAGTCAATTTGAAGTTCCATGGGGGTGGGAATTTCGATATTATCTTATCTTGGTGGGCAGTCCAAGTCAAATTGAAGTTCCATGGGTGTGGGAATTTTGATATCATCTTATCCTTGTGGACAGTCCAAGCCAATTTGAAGTTCCATGGGGGTGGCAATTTTGATATCACCTGATCCTTGCGGACAGTGCAAATCAATTTGAAGTTCCATAGGGGGTGGGGGTTTTGTGGACAGTCCAAGTCCATTTGAAGTTCCATGGGACGGGAATTTTGATATCATCTTATCCTCAGTTTCTGAAGCTGAATAGTTTCTGAATCGTGATAGTTTCTGAATCGCAATAGTTTCTGACTGGCGATAGTTTCTGAATTGCGGTAGTTTCTGAATCATAGTTTCTGAATCGTGATAGTTTCTGAATCGCGCTTGTTTCTGATTCGTGATAGTTTCTGCATCGTGGTTTCTGAATGGCGCTAGTTTCTGTATCGTGGTTTCTGAATCGTGATATAGTGTCTGACTTGTGATATAATTTATGAATCGTGGTAGTTTCTGCATGCTGTAGCGATAGTTGCTGAATCGCGATAGGTTCTGAATCGTGATGGTTTCTGAATCGGTGGAAATAGTTTCTGAACCGTAGTTTCTGAACCGTAGTTTCTGAATCTTAGTTTCTGAATCGCCGTTAGTTTCTGAATCAGTTGTGGATCTTCTGGAAGCTGCTAGTAAAGTAGAAAGGATGTTTATAGCCCACCCCACCCCACCCCACCCCATGCAAGTGGCTAGAGAAGTTAGTAACTTCCAAAACCCCGATAGGGTGCAAAGAGATCTGAAAACCTTGGGTCCCTTTAAATTCAAATACAACTCAAGCAAATTCAACTGACTACTGACTACTCATATTATATATATAATACTAGTAGAAGCAAAAAGTAACCTTCAGTTTTCACTTTCAATTTCACAGTCACTTGAGAAATATTTTGGGCATCAACGACGCGGAAAAATACGATGGCCAAGCATGTCCGACCATCGTATTTTCCCACCTCGCTTTTGACACCAACAGTCCCACGAACTAACTTTCAACTATATAAATATTATATATATAGGTTATTGAAACTACACTGCATGAATGTGCCATTGAAATACATGCAAATAAGTCGTAAATAGCTACATATCGTATACATTTTTATTTGGTTTCAGTCCAGTATTCTCAAGTTAAGAAACCGCATGTAATACTGTAAAAAAGTGAATAAGTGTCACAAGTACATGTGTTTGTGCGCAGGTTGTCTCAATAGACAGATGGTCTCAGGCAGAAAGATCTCAAATGAATATCATGATATATCACATGTAAGGAGGTTCTTTCACAAGCAAATATTCTTAATGCAAATCATTGCGAAACTATTGTGCCCCCAGACTCAGACTGGCCATAAATTTCAGCAAGTTTGCCAAATGCTGATCCGCGAATTGAAAGTTTTGATGGCAAGTTCGTGCAATTACAATTCAGTTGGGGGACCTCCACTGTGAAGCATGCTGTTCGAAGTTAAGAAGGGACTTGGAGATTTTTCTTTTTGTTCGGAATGGCATTTGGATGCGTATCGTATTTTCTACAAGGTCAACAAGCCCCATGAAGGCTACCTTTAGTCTCCAAACTCACTAATGTTACTTAGGCCTAATAAATTTACTAATTTGTCAAAAGAATTTGCGTACCCAAAACCTTCAATAGTTGCATTAAAAACGCGGTCAAAGTATGTCAAATTATGATTTGGTTTTTTGGAATTGTGGTGGAATCGTTTATTTTGAACTAAACACCTGTGGGAGTTCAACCAGGCACTCAAATGATCCACTTTTGCTACAAGTAGCTGTGTGCAGGAGAGGCGGCCAAGGAATGTCACGTGATCGAATGCAACCAAACCATGTCACTTTATTTGGAATCTGATGGCTCTCATTGTCCGAAATTGTTAAGCTTGGTTACTGCTAGCCTGCTTTGCTTAGAATCTGCTCCTGCAAGGCCCCTGTGCTCTGCTGTCATCGGCCGCTCGGCTGTGCTCGGCGGCTCGGCTGTGCTTGGCTGTGCTCTGTTGTGCTCGGCTGCGCTCGGCTGTAGTCGGTTGTAGTCGACTGTACTCAGCTGTACTCAACTGTACTCGGCTGGTCGGCTGTGCTCGGCTGTAGTCGGCTGTAGTTGGCTGTGCTCGGCTGTAGTCGGCTGGTCAGCTGTAGTCGGCTGTAGTCGGCTGTAGTCGGCTGTAGTCGGCCGTAGTCGGCCGTAGTCGGCCGTAGTCGGCTGTAGTCGGCTGTAGTCGGCTGTAGTCGGCTGTAGTCGGCTGTAGTCGGCTGTAGTCGGCTGTAGTCGGCTGTAGTCGGCTGTAGTCGGCTGTAGTCGGCTGTAGTCGGCTGTAGTCGGCTGGTCGGCTGTAGTCGGCCGTAGTCGGCTGTAGTCGGCTGTAGTCGGCTGTGGTCGGCTGTAGTCGGCTGGTCGGCTGTAGTCGGCTGGTCGGCTGTAGTCGGCTGCACTCGACCGTGTGAAATTCCTAAGCCCTCTCTCCTGGCACAATGGATTTTTAGATGCGACTCCAAAGCATGATCACTTCCACACTTTCCGAGGAACTTTTGATGCGCAGCCATGGAAAGCAGTTGGGAAATTCACAAGCGAAATGGAGGTTTTAATTGGAACATCATCTGTAAATTCAGGATGCGTCATTGAGATGTTTAATTACCAGAGGGAACTTGTGTATGTATATATATATATATATGCAAGCAGAACACCGTAAATAGAGGGAAATGCACGGCCAAAAGTGAAGCATTTGGTCATTTTTGATGGTATCTAAAATAACCGTGATGCTGGCTTCCACACTCAAAATCATCCTTCGAAGGTATGGCTTCACATTTGGCACAAGGGGATACCGTAAATAGAGGGACGAATCTACCTGCGAAGCTGCAAGAGTTGAGGGGTTCAAAGGGAATTGAAGCCATTTAATGACTATGTTATAATTATACTCCCATTCCCCGTGAAGCTGAAAGCGCTGGCCATATGATGTGTTAATCTTCCGTCCCTTTCTGGGATGATGATTCTAGTTGACTTAAGTCTTCTGAAACCACCAGCCAGCCATTATCAGCCATTGTTAATTAATAAGATTCTATCACGTGATTCATCGGTCTATCCCGAAGTCGGTTTTTTGGTTCATCACCGCAACTGTTTGTAACCACCACCAAATTTATCCAAATTTGCAAGGCTCACAATCTCCGGGAATGTTGTAGGTCAGTGATACTTTCCCATGCTGTTTTGCGTCGACATGTCGCCACCATGCGACATGTCCTGCAGCTGGCGCTGGCTTGCTACAATATCTGTCGTAGTTTCTGCGGTCTCAACCTACCGCATCGGCTGAGTCCGCTCTAGCGAGAGTTGTGGAGACTACCCTCTGGTAATGAAACAGAGCAATTGGAACTCCACCATTTTGTTCGATGATCTTTTCAGGCTAAGCCGAGGATTTTCCAGCCGCAATTACTAGAGGGTTGAAGCGCTTCAAAGATGGCTCCTTACGCAACCGGGGCTTGGAAGGTCCACAGGTTATGGAAAATCCTGCGGCTGAACTGCCATTTCTGCCACGAGTTGCTGGGAATATTCAGGTTCCAACCCATCTAAACTGTACAGACATGAGGATTTGATTGATTTTGATTTAACCAAGAAAATCTCGGATTTGCTGGAGATTGGTTTTCATTACTATGTTTCCATTGGTGAGCCCGCCAGAACTGGGGGTTGTATACTACTGAGTTGTTCTGAGTTGTGTTTCTATTTGTGTTGGAATTTATTGGGACCAGCATGAGCCTGACTCTGATTTTATTATTTCGTTTCCTGGCAAGAGAATCTAATACCCGAACGTACGACTACGTCGACTGCGTGTTTGAGTTCAGCAAACGGTGGGTTCACATGGGTATCATCGGGATAACTCAGACCTGCCAAACAAAATTGACAACTGTTGTGTCATTTTGGAGTGAGCCATGTGAGGAACCACCCGTAATTACGTCATCTTCCACTTCTGGTTTCAAGCGAATCTGAATCATCCATCTTTGGGTTGGTTGAAGCCTAGGTGGAGGTTGGAATGTCTCCGATCAGTGTTCCCCGGTATCTTGATGATTACCCATGACGGATCCTAACGGTGCTGGTATATTAATGCTAACATGACTGGGGGTATATTGATGGGATCCATGGCACACCATATATCGCAGCACCGCTAGGATCCGTCATGGGTGATATATATATATATATATGACATTAATCATTACTATGATGTTAGTCATCATCCACAACATTGATAGATTTTCATAGATTTTCCGATTTTCCATGATTTTCCATTATAAACCAACCTTTTTTATGGTGGATTTTTCCAGCCATAACTAGGGTTACCCGGTCCTCCACGGGGATTTTCTATCGACGATCATCCATCCCGGATCAGCTGCTCTCTCGGGGAGATTCGCGACGGTTGCTGTGGTGTGTTCGTTGGCGCGCATGGATGTTTTACAGCTTGGATGGGAAGTTCAGTAACTTTATTGGAACCCTCCAAAAAGTGGAACAATAATGTAGTGTTAGTAAGTATATATAGTAATGTTTAATGGGTATAAATTTACTGTTCTTCTTCTGGGGAGTTGCTATTTATTTATCATGTACTGATCTGCAGGTTACCCAAGTTTGGCCGTGACGGCCCCAAACAGTTTTTTTAACCCACAGCTGGTCTCACAGCAACCGCATCGCAAGGGATTTGTTTGGGGAAATTTGAGAGTGTGCTATGGACAATTGCCCATTCACACCGGGAGTACATGTTTATAGATAGATAGATAGATAGATAGATAAATAGATAGTTATATATATATAGAGAGAGATAGATAGATAGATAGATAGATAGATAGATTAGATAGATGGAATAGATAGATAGATGGAATAGATAGATAGATGGAATAGATAGATAGATAGATAGATAGATAGAAAGATAGATAGATAGATAGATAGATGGAATAGATAGATGGAATAGATAGATAGATAGTTAGATAGATGGAATGGATAGATAGATGGAATGGATATATATATATATAGACGTACGTAAAATTACGTAGATAGATTTATATAAATGATAGCTATGTTACATAGTTTACTGGAGTGTGTTCATACATCTGGATAAACAAAATATTGACCTCACGTCATGACGTCACTGGAATGATGCTGAATATTGAATGGGGAATCAGCTCCAATTGGCCGAACTGATCAGATATATTTCAGATTAGTGAATTCCTGAAATCTGACATATTTCATAAGATTAGTGATCATTGGATATTTCAGATTAGTGATATCTCATTAGATAATTAGTGATCATTGGATATTTCATTCCTGTTTTATCCATAATTCAGGGAAAGCATCCCACTACAATGTTAGGTTTTTGAATGAACAGAATAACCTGTCTGTTTTCGAAGATATGTCCGCTTGAAAGCACCTCCTGAAGCAAATCCACAAATCTTTCAAAATACCAGTGGAAAAAAACATGCGTCACACCACAGTCTAACACGTTGTGTCTACGCGTCGTGTCACAACGGCTGTAGGGCGAGGACAGCCGACAGTGAAGGAAAATGGCCCCTTCTGCCGGGTTTTCCCAAAGGCTCGGATTTGTCATAGCTATGTCTTGGGTTTTCCACTTTGACACCGGGGACCCAAGGCAATGTGTCTATGGGTATGGGTCATGTTTTCTACCCCGAACATTGGTTTCTGCCTGCTAAGGCTGTGCTAAACTTGCAGCCGAAATGTCGGGCCTTAAATTTCTGACCCATACCCTTGCCTTTATAAATATATATATATATAATATTATAATAATATAACATAAATATATATACATATATATATATAATGCCAACACCGGATTAATAACCCCCCGCTATAGGTCATGGTAGACCTTGCAAGGTCTTTCCTAGTTTTCCCCGTAAATAAACGCCCCCTTGGAAGGGGTTGATTAATAAGGGGAACCCTCTGATTTTTATAAAGAATTTAATTAGTTGGGGAATAGTTGTTTTTTCAATTTTTCAATGATCAGCAGTGATGGATTCTGGTGTTCATGAGGTTTCAACTTAAGTATAGAATAAGGAAACCACTTGAAAATAAAGAGAGTTGGACAATAAAACAAAATGGGATTTCAGCACTGGTGGTTGATTATTCATGTCCGGCAAAAACGGTTTATTAATCCTGGGGGGCCACCCGTTTTAAAATTGCAAAAAATGGGAGGAGGAGGAGGTTGATTAATAACGGGATGTTGATTAATCCTGACTTGACATTATATATATATATATGTATTTATAATAATCATATAGTTATATAATATGTTTAAATACATATATATATATATATGTAATGCATAAACGGTATAAAATAAAAAAAAGAAGATAATATAATATTAAACTACATGATGTTATTTACTTTAATTTGATACAACATAATTGTATTTCATATGATAGGAAATAATTCAATATAATATAGTAGAAATACCAAATAATATCAAATAATAATCTAATATGACATAGTATAATATCGTATAACTGCATAATGTAAAATTTAATCAACACACATATATAGATATACATAATATATGTCTGACAATGCTCATAAGATACATTTTTGTATGTACTGTATGTATATAAAATATTGTTTTACCTTTTTGTATAGATAATATATTCATCCATGATAATATTACATATTCTATTAAATATAATGTTATATACAATCCTTCTTCATCTGTATATGATATATTATTACAATGTTTGTATACCTGTCTGATCCTTTTCGTATACATCTTCAGTCATGTCATGCATGCAGCCATCATGCCATCACTGTAGCAAACTGTGCAGGACTTCAGCGGCTTCAGCCCCCAGAGATGTCCCACGCGCGCGCAAGAGCCCAGAACTTTCTCCGCGATTTAACCAGCAAAAACGGGTAGATTTCACCTTTTTTTTGGGAGTGAACCAAGAACAATCCCGTGACGGATTCATGGTGCTGCTATATATGGTGTGCCATGGATCCCATCAATATACCGTGTATACCCCATTTTATGTTAGCATTAATCTACCAGCACCATGGATCCGTCATGGAAATTATGGGAATATCATGGAGAAGATCATGGAGATATGGAACTTCGGGGCCGATGAAAATTATGACCAAAGCGGGTGCTAAAGAGGATGCCTCAGAAATTCCTTGAAAACACCTCAGGGTCACTAGTTAGGCGATGCTCAGAGATGGCCAGTTCGTATTTTTGAATCTGCTGTACTTTTCAAGGCCATCAAATGATTGATTCATGTTTTTGACCTTCGCTCATGCTTTTGGGCAAAGTGAACTCCTGTACATTCTGGAGTCCGTCTGAAAAAGAAACGGGTACTGTAGGACAGCACTTCATCAATTTCTACCCGAAATTCCAACAGAGAGCTTTCACCTTTGAAATTTTGCCAGCAGGCATTCCCCACATCCCATTTCCCCAGCACTGGTTTCCAAACCTCGGAAAAAGGTGTCAATATGTGCATTGGAACCCAGACAATTTGGTGTGTCATGATCCCTAAGTTGATTCTTCCCTAATTTTTATGGCTAAACTATGGTAAACTGCTGGTTTTTAGTTGATTTATGTTGATGTTTTTCTTGGGTTTCAAGTTGTTTTGATTACTTTTTGGCTCCACCCCATCACCCCTCAAGGCCATCAAGCAGCAGCAGTGAAGCCAACGGCGAAGCCGCGAAAGGCGAACCGAACCCGACTCGCAGGCGCGATGACAACTTCACCGGGCTACCCCCAAGTAGGATGGGAAATAACACCTTTTTCAAACCAACAAGCAGTATTATGATATGTGCATAATATACAATATATATATATACACTTATATATATATATATGTATATCTTTATATATATATATATATGTGAACATATATATATATATATTTGGAGGTTTCTTAAAAATAGAGGATCCCCAAGTCACCATAGTTGTTTTTTTCCATACTAAAACGGTCTAATTTGGATGATTTGGGGGTACCACCATTTTAGGACACCTCCATTTATACAATGGTTCCGCAAAATGGACATATGGTCTGAACAACAATGAATAACCAAGAAGGGATTAAACAAGAAAAAATGGTAATGGTGGCGTAATTGGGAAAAACATTGGACTATGGGACATGGGAATATTATGTGGATATCACGTGGGATATCATCAACATTCACCAACATGATATGATATGATATGAATATATATTGTACAAGCCCCTACGGAGCCAAATACTTCCTGATAAGGTACTACAGCCCCAGATCATAGCCCAAATGCTGTCCAAGAAGGTCCTTGAATCCAGATGGAGAAGATGGTAGGTTGATATAGCCATTTGAACCGCCAGATTTGTCGGATAATCGGATGGGGATTCAATCACCAATAATAAACAGGGATAGAGCTGGCACAATGCGGGTGAAATTTTGGATCAGAGATTTAACAACCCATGAACGATGTCTTAATGAGAGAAAGGTGAGGATTTCATCAGAAGCAGTGGGCGAATTTCTGAGTAAACCAGGGGTACTTTGGCAAACTGTTTTTTTTTGCTATATATATATATATCGGTAAATAAGTAAGTTCAGCTCATCATGTGATGTGTTTTCTTCTCAGAATATCGAAGTTGGGCCCTCGGGAAAGTTAGCCAAAAGTGAGTGTTTGCCTGTTTTTAACCAAATTAACCGCAAATTCGCTGCAAATCAACAGAAACAAAATGTAAAACGGATCAGACAAGTTAATTATCTATACAGAATACACCATCCAGGAATGAAACATGTTTACATAAATTTTGTGTTCCCAGCTGGAAACTTCCATTCAGTTCGGGGATTTCTCAGCCACGTCATATAAGAAGCATTGTTTAAGTGCTCATGGCAGTTCACCAGAAGCTGGGTATCTTGGAATTTCAATGGCGCGGAACAAGTCACATCAAGTAAATGTATGTAAGTATGAAGTACTATGTATATAAAGGTAAATACATCATAATGCATCCCATCATAGATTTTGTTTGGAATTATGTAAGTACATACCTTTCATAAATGATTACATAGATGATTTTGGGGTATCAGTATGGCTCAGAAAGTACCAAAAAAAAGTTCGATAGTTCTATTTCCCCGAGTTTCCCTCAGATGTACACCGACGGAATGCTGGAATGTTGTGCCCAAACAGTGTGGGTAACATAGAACCATATAGGCTCGCAAGGTTGTTTATCATGTCGAGTTACTCTTGAGCTATTTAACTATGGTCTTGATACGTGTGGTTAGAATTTTGACGAGAGCTCATTGTTTTGTCCTTGTACTGTATTCTAGAGGTTTTGCCGGCTGGCGTTTCCAAAAGTATCCAAAAGTACCATCTGATTATTTAACAGTTTGCCATGGGAAATCACCATGTTTTATAGGTAAACCATCTATAAATGGTCCATTTCCCATAGCAAACAGGGTTCAATCACCATGTTTTTCATCGGTAAGTCATCACAGCCATCGAAGCAAATGGATCCCATTTGGGGCCATTAATGGCACTGCTGGAAGTTCAGCTGTAGCTGCTGCAAGTTGGATCTCATGGCTCACCTCTTACCATCACAATACCATCATATATATACATATATATATATTATATATTATATATATATATAGAGAGAGAGAGAGACAGCCCCCAGACAAGCATTCCTAGTAAAATAGTTGTAAAGTAAAGTACTTTCTGTCTTTGCGGCGGCTACTATACATATAATTCATATAATCATAACGTAGTATACATGTCTGCATTTGTGTGAATTTGGGATTTAATGCTTCTATGGGTCCATGCAGACGCATCGTCAGGCGCCCTCCTTCGCGCAACGAAGTGCATGTGGTGACAGAGGTGTTTCTTTCCACGGTGGTCATGCTTGGTAACTGTGGCCCGGATGACGGTTGTTCCGATTAGCCTGGACTAATCTGGACTACCCTTTGGTAAACTAGCATAGCTATTGAAAATTGCCATTTATAGTGGATTTACCCATTAAGAATGGTGCTTTTCCATAGTTGTTTGTATGTTTACCAGAGGGTATAAGTTATATATTGTAATTTGTCATAATGGGAACAACCCCTTATCAACTAGGAGTAATTGGATAATCCCATATAATGGACCGTATATCATAATTTTATTCAATAATTCATAATGGATAATCCGTTTCAACTGGTACTTTGCGTGTTTTATGTGTTTGCCTGTTTGAGCGACACATGGGACACAAAAAACATGTTCTGCAGGATAAAGGTTTGCCACAAACAAAGGTTGGTGATGGTAATTTCATTGATTCCAACTAAAAGAATAAATTCAGTTTAACGAAGGTTCGCCATTGGAAGTGGAACGCAAGATTCCATGAGACATTGTTTCATATTCACTCTCGTGATCCGCAAAGCCACCCTTCTTCTGTTTTTTTTTCGTATCTATAGATGCATATACATAGATGATATTTGTTTACATATATATATATCTTATATGCACACCATATATATAAATACATAAGTATTTTATACATACATCATATATAGACGTTCACTTACATATTCCATTCATGCACAGTGGCGCTGATGTTCCTGGCAGGACGCCAACCCCACACCTTCCCGGCGAGGGGAGGGCCGTGCGCCATCCCTGCGCGCTGCTGGTGAGTGGGATACCCTGGAGATGTGGGCTGGGCATGCTTAGGTGGGCCATGAGACTAGTGGTTCCTGGTTAGTAACTGGGTTGTATATATATATATATACATATTTAAATATGCATCTATACATAATGATAATATTTTCATTTATTGACCATTGATTCGTGATATGAATATACGAACTAGTCAACTAACAAACCATGGTGTACCTAACTGCAAGTGGGCATGTGGAGTGCAGAATGCCGGAGATGTGCCCTGGAGCTACTTGACTGCTCACTGATGTCTCTGTCCACCTAGCTGACTGCAGTCCCCATACCAGGATGTTTATATTTGACATATACATATACATATTGCATGTATATATAATGTATGATGCAGGTCTATGTTTTTCTTCGGTTTTCGAAGGAGTGTTTATTGTGAGGGGTCGTCTATAGTTAACTTTTCCGCCCTTGGTTCACATCCCCATTTTCAAAGGCAGGTTCCAAGTTCCAAGGCTATGGTCAGGTGGGTTAAATAAAAGGCATGTCAGTTGTAGAGCTGAAGTATGGCAAGATGCCAGATTTAATATGTTTTTATATGATTTAATAGGGATGATAATGGGATAAGTATTGAATACTCATGGATTTAATTTCCGGTGTCCTCAAACATGGCGGGGTAAATCCCCAAACTCAAATGGAGGGTCAACTGTTCGTTGGGAAAATCAGCGCCATCCGCAATGGAGGATTTTCCAGCCACGTTTGATCATCGGAGGGTAGAAGAGCATACCCTCTGGTAAACATACAAAAAGCTATGGAAAAACACCATTCTTAATGGGTAAATCAACTATTTCAATGGCAATTTTCAATAGCAAACTGTTAGTTTACCAGAGGGTACTGTATGCCAAACCTTTGACTTTTGTTTGTGCTCGCTATTCCAATCCTTGTGCTGCAAGTCCGCTAGAAACGACCCGATGCAAGAATTGGCGTATATTTCCAAGCCAAGAATTCATTTGTTTCCAGAATTGAACTCCCATCTCATCCCACATTCAATAGAGAAGTCGCCGGAGATCTTGTTTATGGATGTTTATGGTTGAATCCCAGCTGTTGCCTGGTGTTTCAAATCAGCCATCATTTCCCTGAATTGGATGGGGAAACCTGCAGGACTCCACCTTTAAAGATGATACACCATGATTTCCTGTAGTTTAATGCAATGAATCATGGTTGCGTCATCCATAGCCTCCCAGCTGCTCATGCCACCGCAGTCTCGCAGTCTCAAAGAGTTTGTGAAAGCATGGGCAGGGATTTCATGTACTTCCCCCAGCAGTATTCAATACCCCCCAAACGCAACGTGGTGTAGTATTGGATCTCTTCATTTTGGGGACCCATCAAGGCGGGTATCTAATATATGATTAGAGGATGTGATTGCTTTCAATGACAGACATCTTCGGACATGAGACCTTAGAGACTTAAAGATACCTTAAAGATACCATAGATACCTTAGACAATTAGCTTAGATGCCTTAGATACCAGGTAGAACCATTTCATTCTACTTGGGGATTTCGATGATACGATGCCCACCTCTCTGCGGATGGGAAGTCATCATCCATGATGCATGATTGTCGGGCCTGTGAAGGATTCACATGTTCACCCCCCGCTATGTGTGTGTGTATATATATATATATATATGTATTTAACTTAACACACACGCACACACACATACATATATATACATATATATGCACATATTCTCGCTGGTAATCTACCATAGCCATTTTGTCTTTTCCGGGGTGTGCAAATATATGTGTATTTATATACGCATATTATATACTTTATATATATTTATATTTTTTTTATTTATATATACATAGATACGGGCATCCCATGGCTTCATGTGTTTAGAACAAACCAATTTGGATTGACCAGAGCTTTCACACTCTAAGCGTTTGAAGTCATTGATTTAGGGCGTGTCCTGCGGGCTGACAGGCAGTTTGAGTTTTACGGATTTCCAGAGGAATCCAAGTGACCTGAATATTTGGGAGGTGTTGATCCAGCAAGGGAAGCATATGGATATTCAAAATCAAGATCAACGGTGCCAGGAGTCGTAGTTCGGCCATTTTAGGCCCATATATATTCATGGAATGTATAACTTATGTAGGATGTAGTGGGATTGAAATCGAGATCATCAAACTCTGAGGCTCCAAAAAGTGACATGAAATCCACGAGAAATCCTCATTGGTTTTTTGCAGCGTGCCATGAAGCAGCTGCTCTTCTTGACGGTCGCTTTTGGCTTCTCGACTTGCGGGGACCAGAGAAGTTGACCGACTGTCGGTTGCGTATCTTCAGATACATTCTATGGCAAATTAGCTAAATATCAAACATATATAAATCGTGCGTTTACACAGTTTCACCAAGTTGATAGAGGGATCGACATGGGGGAGACCGAGGGAACCAGAGCCTCCAAAAGTGGGATGTCCAAGCATCTCAAAAAAAAAATGCTGAAGCTATGTGTTAGTTGGCCAGGCTCCACACTCTTTGAGAACCCCCAAAAGGATAGAACAATGAATCGTCGGGAATTTACCAAGCCCTATCTTTGGGGGACTATATCCATGGGTTCCCTGGATATCGTATGGGATTTCTACAGTGGGACTGTCCCCATTTGGGTTTTTGGGACTTAACTTTGAAGCATCCATGTAAGGTCTGGAAAGTGGTTGTTGTCAGCAACCTCGCTGGGATCTCACCATTTTTGTGTTGACTAGGACCCAGGGAAACCATCCCAAAAATCTCGATAGTTGTTGCAGGTTCACTCAGAAACATTCTAATCTCCACAAAAAATATACCACACCCCATCTGTTGCTTTATATCATGGCTTCACAAAAAAACTACCCGCCGAAGTTTTGGGCGAAGACAACTAAGGCATTGGAGTGTTCATTGGCAACATCTTGCAGCCAAAGAGCACGGGTGACATGGATGTGGTCCTGTTTGAAGCACCAAATATGGTGTCAGGGATGTTATATCTGGTTGGTGGTTTGGACCTTTTTTCATTTTCCATATATTGGGAATTTCATCATCCCAACTGACTTTCATATTTTTCAGAGGGGTAGGTCAACCACCAACCAGTTAGATGGGTGGTAAAACACCAACTAAGGCTTAGGACTGACCATGTTTACATGGGGATATATCATGACCACTTCCCCAGGATGGTTTGAGGCGGCATCATTTTCTCAAGAGCCTGTTGAACTATATACCTATACCCTCCGGTGTCAACATGGCCAACTGGGAAAGCTTCGAACTAAATTAGTATGTCAATATATTTCAATGGTAAGATCATCGAACTGGGTGGATTTTCCCACTAAAAACCTAAAACAAGAGACAGATCGAACAGATCTCTCCATTTTTCATATGATGTCCCGATTTGGAATTCCCATGGTATTTCCCCTAAAACCAGATACAGCCCCCCATTGTATTCCCAGATCGAAATTTGCATCAAGTTGCATCCCCATGGTGGCCTAGAGATTTTGGGGCAACCAGATCTAGCAATTTAAGTAACGCCCATTTTATTGGGGAAGGGAATGCTCAACATATTGTGAACATCAACAATTTTTCATGGGACTACAATTATGTATCATGTTCAGGTATCATGGGCATATGATGGGATTGATGGGGTATACTGATATAAACCCAACTTTCTTTCACAGTGCGGAGGTGTATGGTCCAGCTTCACCTCGTTTGGTATCTAAATGGTATGTTACACATGCCAAAAAAAAAACAATGGACCAATATGATGACATGACCTCTGTTTATCATGTTTGATTGGTGGTTGAGATATGTTTCTTGGTATGGTGAGGCAGAATATGCCTGGAGTTGCTGATGGTTGTTATTTTCTGGTTGGTCCACCACAAATGGGGAATACCCTCTGGTTATTCAACTCAGCTATGGACAACTACCATTGTTTAAAGGTAAATCATCATGTTTGTCGTGTGTAATGTGTCCATAGGTTTTTCTTCCATAGCTATGCAAAATAACCAGATGGTATTATTTTTTTATTGCATGGTTATATTTTGAAGGACCCGCCTAGGCCCCAAATTTGGCAGACTGTGGCAGAAGAATTTGAGCCACGGGAGGAGTCTCGCTGCACCGGTGATTGCCGATGTGAAAGCAACGGCGGAACAGTGTCAAGAGCAATGCACGGACCCGGGCCGCAGGGAGCAGGGTAGGTTGTTTTTTTCTGGAGGGCTGCTGGGTTGTCTCAAAATACGGCACCCCCATTTACATAGAATTATATATAGGATTAAGCATGCAAACACACATAATTAATTACACACAAATTTTTGGGGAGCACCTGGTATGCCAAATTTCTAGACAAACCAATGGCATCATGTTTTTGGAATGGTCCACTGTTCAACAACCAGAATTGCCTTCTGCGTCGCCTTTTTTTTTCGGTCCGGGTGGGCCTAAAGCAGGTGCAGTTTGCAAGCAGGAGTATATGTGATGTTTGTATGTCATGATGATGTGATGTCGATGCAATGCATATGATATGTTACTGTTCAATGTATTTGCCATTCTGAAACGTATATGTAGCAAACTCATCTCACTAAGCAAAGAGTAACCAGCAGTTTTGATTGGTCAGATTCATGTCAGTCATGCTTACTCTACCATCCGGTAATCAAAAACGACAATGAACAATGACCCATTTATAGATAGTTTTCCGAGCTACAAACCTCCATCTAGTTCGGGTATTTCCAACTTCCATCTTTGATTACCAGAGGGTATGTGGGATTTCCTAACAGCTATATTTGATTACAGGAGGGTATGTCCAGATTGCTCATGTCTCCACATCTCAGAAATTTATAGAGATATCAGCATCTCCATTTCGGGCCTATCGGGCCTGATGGCCAGTAACGGTAGTTTCTTTCGTAAATGAGTAAATATATCCAAACATATATGCTACATACCTGCAAACCGGTATAAATAAATAATGTATATATATATATACACACATACATGTTCATAATTTGCATTTTTTACATACATACATACATATATATATATATATGTGTGTGTGCATGTTTTCCTTTGAGTCTCTCGACCCAAGTTGACAGCAGAGTTTCGTTTCAGGACTTGAAACGACCCACGCAGCTGCGACTGGAGGGAAATTTCCTGAAACGCGATGGCCAGGAGATTTTCCGCGATATGGTTGGCCTGATGCCGAGAAAAGGTGGTGTCCCAGGTCGAACAGGTAACGCTACGTCGCGATTTGTTGGTGAAGATAACTCCAATTTCACTGTTGGGTTTATGATATATATATATATACATATCTTTACAATAGAGAGAGAGTATATATATATACACATATCCATAGATATATATATATATATATAATTATATATATATATAGTACTACAGTTCATGAAAGGTAATAAAACAATATAGACCAACTAGCATCACTGGGAGGGCACCACTTTGTAGCTAATGTAGTTGCACTGGTATCTCTCACGTTCTTGACACATCATCATGCTGGTTCATCACCGTGGTAGTGAATGAATACACTTCCCCAAACATACACAAAACAAATGCTTAACAAACATAGCCTCTGTTCAACCAGGATTTTGTGGGGAATTTGAGATCCAATCACCTCCTGAGAATGGCCAATCGAACTGACTGGGATTGGATCCCTTGGGTAAGTGGTCAATCATCCCAAAAACATACCTGGTTGGTGGTTTGGAACATGAATTCTATTTTTCCATACATTGGGAAGAATTATCCCAACTGACTAATATTTTTCGGAGGGGTTGAAACCACCAACCAGATACTGAGGTCTATTTTGCAAAATCCATTTGTTGCAACTGGATGATACCCAAGTAGGGACTTGCAATGGGGTGAAATGAACTAGCCATCATATTTGTCTAAATGGTGGCGGGAACATGTTTTGTTTGGCCACTGAAACTCCGATGTTGTGTTGGTTCAAATCCTGTAATTGTGACCGTCGATTAGGTTGCCGTTTCATGGGGCAGATTCACTTCAAGATACCTTCCAGACATTTCCAGATGTTCTTTCCCCATACTTGAGGGCACTTGGAAGTGTAAGTGGTGAACACCAATATCATATCCCAGTTCTATACCATATATCATATCATATCCCAGTATCATATCCCAGTGTTCTCCCCAATCTCATATCAAAGTTCTATATCCACATCCATCTGTAAGCAATTTCCTGTGAGAAGTCGATTTCTTTAGCTGTAGCTTGCTTGGGCACCGACAGAGAAGTCCCCGTAAAAAGGGTTTGGGAAGGAAGCCTTGCGGGGGTTTAAATATGGTCATAAGATGAGTTATACCCTCTGGTTATGACTAACATAGCCATGGTATAGATGGCCCATAGAAATAGATGGTTGTCCTACCTATAAAATGGTGATTTTCCATGGCTATGTTAAATAGCCAGATGGTAAGTTATAAGTTTCATGTTTGAAGGGTGGACCTGAAAATTTGTCAATTTGAACGGTCTTGAGCGGGTGATACTTGGATCACATTTGTTGACAATCATGTCATGAGCCATGGTAAAAGTCCCGCAAGCAAGAAATGCGAGCTCTTATAATCTATAATCAGTATCTGGTTGGTGGTTTGGAACATGTTTTTCCATTTCATATATGGGATGTCATCCTTCTCATTGACTAATAATGACTAATATTTTTCAAGATGGTTAAACATATAAATCATTATTATTGCATGGACCTCCATGGACCCCCAGGAAATCGGCAACCACCACCATGGACCATCCGACCATCCCTTTGTGAGGACGTGGTCATGGACCTGCCATCGACGGTGAAATGTGATCCCTTGGAGCCTTGGAACGAATCGGCAGGATTGGCATCCGGAGGCGGCGACAGAACTGGGAGATTGAGCCATTTCGGAAACCAGTGGTGATATTTTTTGCAGCAATTCCTGGGAGATTATGGGATAGTAATGGTTAGTATGATATTATGAATCCATATCTGGTTGGTGGTTTGGAACATGAATTTTATTTTTCCATAATATATGGGATAATCCTTCCCAACTGACTAATATTTTTCAGAGGGCTTGAAACCACCAACCATTATAATGTTGGCGTCTGATTAGTGTGAGGGCCCCCCCCCCCCAAACAATTTTAGTCTACTCAATAACAGACCATTTTTTTGCGCCCCCCCACCCTCAACAATTTTGTTGAATTGATTTCAATTTACTTTCAATTTACTTTCAATTTACTTTCAATTGATTTCAATTTACTTTCAATTGATTTCAATTTACTTTCAATTGATTTCAATTTACTTTTCATTGATTTCAATTTACTTTTAATTAATTGATTTCAATGTACTTTCAATTTACTTTCAATTGATTTCAATTTACTTTCAATTTACTTTTCATTGATTTCAATTTACTTTTAATTGATTTCAATTTATTTTCAATGTACTTTCAATTTACTTTCAATTGATTTCAATTTACTTTCAATTTACTTTTCATTGATTTCAATTTACTTTTAATTGATTTCAATTTATTTTCAATTTACTTTCAATTGATTTCAATTGATTTCAATTTACTTTCAATTTACTTTCAATTTACTTTCAATTGATTTCAATTTACTTTTAATTGATTTCAATTTACTTTCAATTGATTTCAATTTACTTTTAATTTATTTCAATTTACTTTCAATTTACTTTCAATTGATTTCAATTTACTTTCAAATTACTTTCAATTGATTTCAATTTACTTTCAATTGATTTCAATTTACGTTTAATTGATTTCAATTTACTTTCAATTGATTTCAATTTACTTTTAATTAATTTCAATTTACTTTCAATTTACTTTCAATTGATTTCAATTTACTTTCAATTTACTTTCAATTGATTTCAATTTACTTTCAATTGATTTCAATTTAATTACTTTTCATTGATTCAATTTACTTTCAATTTACTTTCAAGGTTTTTGTTTTTTTTGAACCCCAAAAGGTGTTGGGCACAATAGAGTACCATCCAAACATTCATATTATTGAGTAACTCAGCCACTCATGGGATACCACCTTGAAAAATTGTTTGGGTGCTGTTTTTTCAATAAGGGTTTAATAAGGCATCTAATTATTTGGAAAACCTTGTATTTTAAAGCTTTAATACAATTATGGTTTTCTAAAGTAAATGGACCAGCTTTACTCAAAGAAAGGTGGAGAAAGGGTTTTTGTTTTTTTTCAACCCCAAAAATTGTTGGGCACAATAGAGTACCATCCAAACATTCATATTATTGAGTAACTCAGCCACTCATGGGGTACCACCTTGAAAAATTGTTTGGGTGCTGTTTTTTAATAAGGGTTTAATAAGGCATCTAATTATTTGGAAAACCTTGTATTTTAAAGCTTTAATACAAATATGGTTTTCTAAAGTAAATGGACCAGCTTTACTCAAAGAAAGGTGGAGAAAGGTTTTTGTTTTTTTTTCAACCCCAAAAGTGGTTGGGCACAATAGAGTACCATCAAAACATTCATATTATTGAGTAACTCAGCCATTCATGGTTTTTTCAGACATCTAATTATTTGGAAAAGGTTGGATCTTCAAGCTTTAACACAAATATGGCTTTCTAAAGTAAATGGACCAGCTTTACTCAAAGAAAGGTGGAGAAAGGGTTTTTGTTTTTTTTTCAACCCCAAAAGTTGTTGGGCACAATAGAGTACCATCCAAACATTCATATTATTGAGTAACTCAGCCATTCATGGTTTTTTCAGACATCTAATTATTTGGAACAGGTTGGATCTTCAAGCTTTAACACAATTATGGCTTTCTAAAGTAAATGGACCAGCTTTACTCAAAGAAAGGTGGAGAAATGGTTTTGGATTTTTTTCAACCCCAAAAGTGGTTGGGCACAATAGAGTACCATCCAAGCATTCATATTATTGAGTAACTCAGCCACTCATGGGGTACCACCTTGAAAAATTGTTTGGGTGCTGTTTTTTAATAAGGGTTTAATAAGGCATCTAATTATTTGGAAAACCTTGCATTTTAAAGCTTTAACACAAATATGGCTTTCTAAAGTAAAAGGACCAGCTTTACCCAAAGAAAGGTTTTAAAGCTTTATCACAAATATGGTTTCATAAAGTAAATGGACCAGCTTTACTCAAAGAAAGGTGGAGAAAGGGTTTTTGCTTTTTTTTCAACACCAAAAGTTGTTGGGCACAATAGAGTACCATCCAAACATTCATATTATTGAGTAACTCAGCCACTCATGGGGTACCACCTTGAAAAATTGTCCGGGTGCTGTTTTTTAATAAGGGTTTAATACGGCATCTAATTATTTGGAAAACCTTGCATTTTAAAGCTTTATCACAAATATGGTTTCCTAAAGTAAATGGACCAGCTTTACTCAAAGAAAGGTGGGGAAAGGGTTTTTGTTTTTTTTTTCAACCCCAAAAGTTGTTGGGCACAATAGAGTACCATCCAAACATTCATATTATTGAGTAACTCAGCCATTCATGGTTTTTCAGACATCTAATTATTTGGAAAAGGTTGGATCTTCAAGCTTTAACACAAATATGGCTTTCTAAAGTAAATGGACCAGCTTTACTCAAAGAAAGGTGGGGAAATGATTTTGGATTTTTTTCAACCACAAAAGTTGTTGGGCACAATAGGGTACCATCCAAACATTCATATTATTGAGTAACTCAGCCACTCATGGGGTACCACCTTGAAAAATTGTCTGGATGCTGTTTTTTAATAAGGGTTTAATAAGGCATCTAATTATTTCGAAAACCTTGCATTTTAAAGCTTTAACACAAATATGTTTTCTAAAGTAAATGGACCAGCTTTACTCAAAGAAAGGTGGAGAAAGGGTTTTTGTTTTTTTTTCAACCCCAAAAGTTGTTGGGCACAATAGAGTACCATCCAAACATTCATATTATTGAGTAACTCAGCCACTCATGGGGTACCACCTTGAAAAATTGTTTGGGTGCTGTTTTTTAATAAGGGTTTAATAAGGCATCTAATTATTTGGAAAACCTTGCATTTTAAAGCTTTACACAAATATGGCTTTCTAAAGTAAAGGACCAGCTTTACCCAAAGAAAGGTGGAGAAAGGTTTTGTTTTTTTTTCACTCCCAAAAGTTGGTGCTCACAATAGAGTACCATCCAGACAATTATATTATTCAGTAACTGAGCCACTCATGAGGTACCCCCTTGAAAAATTGTTCTGGATGCTGTTTTTTAATAAGGGTTTAATAAGGCATCTAATTATTTGGGAAACCTTGCATTTTAAAGCCTTAACACAAATATGGCTTTCTAAAGTAAAGGGACCAGCTTTACCCAAAGAAAGGTGGAGAAAGGTTTTTGGTTTTTTTCACTCCCAAAAGTTGGTGCTCACAATAGAGTACCATCCAAACAATTATATTATTGAGTAACTGAGCCACTCATGAGGTACCCCTTGAAAAATTGTCTGGATGCTGTTTTTTAATAAGGGTTTAATAAGGCATCTAATTATTTGGAAAACCTTGCATTTTAAAGCTTTAATACAAATATGGCTTTCTAAAGTAAATGGACCAGCTTTACTCAAAGAAAGGTGGAGAAAGGGTTTTTGTTTTTTTTTCAACCCCAAAAGTTGTTGGCACAATAGAGTACCATCCAAACATTCATATTATTGAGTAACTGAGCCACTCATGAGGTACCCCTTGAAAAATTGTTTGGGTGCTGTTTTTTTAATAAGGGTTTAATAAGGCATCTAATTATTTGGAAAACCTTGCATTTTAAAGCTTTAATACAAATATGGTTTCCTAAAGTAAATGGACCAGCTTTACTCAAAGAAAGGTGGAGAAAGGGTTTTTGTTTTTTTTTCAACCCCCAAAGTGGTTGGGCACAATAGAGTACCATCCAAACATTCATATTATTGAGTAACTCAGCCACTCATGGGGTACCACCTTGAAAAATTGTCTGATTTTTTTTTAATAAGGGTTTAATAAGGCATCTAATTATTTGGAAAACATTGCATTTTAAAGCTTTAATACAAATATGGTTTCCTAAAGTAAATGGACCAGCTTTACTCAAAGAAAGGTGGAGAAAAGGTTTTTGTTTTTTTTTTCAACCCCAAAAGTTGTTGGGCACAATAGAGTACCATCCAAACATTCATATTATTGAGTAACTCAGCCACTCATGGGGTACCACCTTGAAAAATTGTCTGGATGCTGTTTTTTAATAAGGGTTAATGAGGCATCTTCTTATTTGGAAAAAAAAAAATCAAAAATAATTAATTAATTAATTAGGAACATTTTTTTAAACAAAAATAAAATCTGGAAAAACATTTGCCACAATAGAGGCCCCCCCCACCAAACAGCAGGTTACTGAATAAGGAGGAAAAAGTTTGCCACAATAGAGTACCATGCTACTAATCAGGTGCCAACATTATAATGAATTTGTAATTGGTTGTGTAAGCATGTCTAAGGATGTACAAGGGGGATATTCAAACAGCACACATATGGTGTATAAGGGGGGTATTCAAACAGCACAAATAGGGATTTTGCTTTAGTGATGTTGCTATATGTTGCTCACAAAAGTCAAGGTTGAACCAACAAACAAGGTGGCATCATGGCGTATTATGTGGACACAATGGCAGTATACTGAAGACAATCACAACGACGTCAACGTGTAAAGGATGGTTAGGGAATCATCCCAGCATGGTTAGGTCGCAAAACCTTCCAAGGGGATCCAACAAACAAAGGGGTTGATGGTGGATTTCTGATAGGAAAGTTGGGGTTTGTAAGGATATCCAAGCGGCTGGTGTTAGCATCGAAAAATTGGAGTGCTTGAACTCCACAATCTTTGTGAACTAGCTAAAATAATGGGAATGATAGGGTATAGCCGTATAGCCGGGATACCCTTTGGTAATCGAACATGGCCAGCTGGAAAATGTTCCAGAAAAAGTTCGATGATGTTCCTAATGAAACATCCATTTACTTTGGGGATTGCCCAGCCACGTGGCTGGTTATCCTATTACATGCCCATATATACATCATATACTCGCGCATATATTAACGTCCCATGAAATTTCCTTGAAAGAAATCCTATTACATGTCCCTATTAAATCCCATTAAATTCCCATATTTCTTGATGGATGTTGAAAGCTCCATTGTCGTTGCACAAGCCATCCCATTGTGATGACGGCTATCCCATTGGATGATCACAGCTGTCCATGGTTAGTAGCCTGACATGCACGCGACATACAAATGTTGACGACATACCGATACAATTCATCGGTGTTTCAAGGATGTGTTTTTTTTACAGATGCCATGTTTGTCAGATTCCGTCAGCAGGGTGATGATGGGTGATGCAGAAATCCTTGAGTAGGATGATTTACCTCCGGTAATCAGAGATGGTGATATGGCAATGGGAAATCCTCTATAAATGGAGGTTTCTACCTGGAAAAATATTCGAATTAATCACATCTAATCACGGGATTGTTCATTGCCATGTTTGATGAAACCAGAGGGTATATGATGGACCGCAGATTTTGGTCGTGCTCACGGTAAGCAGTTTGCTATGACAAAGAACTAGAAAAATGTTCGAACTAAATATGTCATCTATATCATAGCTCTGTAACAAATCACCATAGGCTATTTTCCCGTAGCTTTCCATATGTTCCAATATGTTCGCGGGGTTTCTGGTTGCGCTTTGCATGGCTGGGAGTACAATTCAAGAGGTTGCCGACTCGTTTGAACTCGAAAGGTGAGCGAAAGGTGAGCGTTTTGGCTGTTGGTTTTGCCTATCAGGATGCAATTATTTTCAGCATATTTATCATTTGCATATATACGTTTATTGCCATTGTGATGATATTAGTGATACTGTTCAGAATATTGAACCATTTTCAAATACAGCATATGTTTGTGTATATACTGTGTATATATATATATATATTCATATGTTATTTTATTTTTTAAATGCATGTACGGAAATGTACATCCATCATCATCCATCTAAGCTATGTCCAAACATATTATATGCATATTATCAGTGCGTGCCCAGGAACATTTGCTGGTCATCAACTTGGAGGGTGAAGGCCGGCGAAGCGGAGGAAATTTACACCCGGGGACTCCGGGGACTCATGGATCCCACAAAACATGGATGAAAAAACCAGGAAATTTGGGAACGTCATGGGAAAATCATGGGAAATGACCCAGTGTAAACCAGGAAAATCGTGGGATTTAAAATTTAAAGTGTCTTTTGTTCCTTATCTTTTGACATGAATGAGGGAATATCATGCCCTGTTTATCTTCAGAGAAAAAACATCAACAAAAACATGAACATTTAGTATTAGCTATGGATTGATACTTGTTTGATAAACCATTTGGACCCGTTTCGAGTGGCATGCCGTATCATGGTCAATTTTTAGACAAGCCATGACAAGCCCCTGCGTTGATGGCCCGCGGAGTGAGTTTACTTGTTTGCAAGGGGGTTATATATATACCCTTATAACTTGTAGCTATGTCAATGATTTAAAGCCAACTTTTCATCACCAGTACCAGTTGACGCAACCATGGCCATGTAAGACACAGCACACTGCTGCGACCTTGTCCACCTGGTCAACGGCTTAGATCCCAAACGTTGCTAACGTTCACTCCGTATGTTCATTTGTTAAATCCCCAGTCTTGTTGGTTAAAAATGCTTAAACAGCCAGTTGAGGACCTGAAGTGAAAATCTTTCGTATATCTCAATGATACATCATTAGACCCCATGAGTTTCCCCCTTTTTGGGTGACAATGCCAGTTTGTGTTTGGTAAATCCCCATGGTTGCTACGTGAAGTTCCCCTTTTTCCAGTGCTTCAGGGGGCCAAGCCCGAAGAGATCACATCTACCGGGAGTTCGAAAAAGTGGGATTGAAAGGACGGGGCAATTCCTGGAAGATTATGGGATAGTAATGGTTAGTATGATATTATAAATCCGTATAAATCCATGTAAATCCAATGTTTTGGGAATGTTTTGGGAACATGTGGGATGGCACTATAAGATTGCAATTGTCCAAGCATATATTTCCAGGATGGGAAAATAGTATGATGGGAATTATATAATATATATATATCATATATATATAATTAATATGTATATACTTGGGATATAGCTGGACTATTCATATGATGGATCCCAATGATAGTGGTAAACAATGACTTTGGAATAACCGAGCAGGGCAAGGGAGCACTCAAGGCCCACCTGCGGAAGTCCAACGCAATGGCTCTGAAGGCCCTCTAGAAAGTTTCTCATTGTTGAATTCTATACCAACCAGGTGACCAGACTCGTCCTTGGCGACCCTAAAAATAGGTCTGATTTTCAGTGGACACTGATCTGTTAACCACTGGCCGGGTCCATGTTAATTTGGAGGGTATCATAGACCATCTCCATGTGAATGCACAAGTGCGGCTGCTGGTGCGGCAGGACGTTTTCGCTTCTGGCCTGCCATCAACTTCAAGAATAGCACCCGATTAGCGAAGGAAACCAACCGCAAGGAGTGCCTTGGACCTTTGATGCGCTGAGTCTTTTTTAGTGACCAGTGTCCATTTGACCCTTGGCTGATGGTGAAACATGGGGTTGGTTTCATATTCAACCTGATCACTTGGGGGATTAGAAAAAAGTGGGGTATCCGAATCTATTTATGAAATACCATTACCACTACATATTTAGGTACCATTACCATGGTAATGGTATCCGAATTTATTTAGGTAAAGGTACCCAGCTGTTCCATTACCATGTCGTGCCATGGGGCCCTTGAATGATCCATGCAAAACGAGGTGCCCTTGCGACTCAAAGGTGGGATGTCTCTCGCTTCACGATATTTGGCTTGGGAAGTGAGCGATGTTTGTGATGGAAAAGATGTGGACTTGTCCAAACTATGCCTTCAACAAAAAAAAGAATTTGCAGAAACACTAGGGATTTTGCGAAGGAGACGTATTTCTGTTTCAAGGCTTGTCCCAAAAAATGGTATATACCTCAATTTATGGTCATATATGAGTGAGTCATATGAAGGCGGAAAATGATGACTGAACCTTCGATTTTTTTGGTGCCCTATTCTTGGACGAACCCGCGTATTGTAGGCCTATATATAGCCGTTGTCGAGGGACCCATCTCTTGCTCCCAGTGGGACATTGTTTAATTTGATAAGCATCCCTCGAACATGGAAAACATGTTTCCCATAGGATCCATGTATGGTATTTATGCTAACATTGGGGGTATATTGATGGTAAATGTTACCATATATAGCATACATGGATCCTATGGTTTTTGTTTTCTCTTAAGGGCAAGTTTTCGGGGTCGAGTCAAACTATGTCAAGCTGGAGGTGCGTTGAGCCACCGAGAAATCTATGCAGCTCGGCCGCAGAGAGTGGGGGGAATGCATAGAGATTCCTTCATAACCATGGTTACAAACCCTCATGAGTTGGGATATAACTATGGTTATTTATCCACTTACTCTTACACTATGTATATATATATATATATATATCTATATATTTACCAGCTGGCCACACACACACATATATATATATATATGTGGAACTGCATTTCCAAGTAGCAAGATTGGGATGATTCCTGCAATGATTCCTGCAGTATTGTACATTGCAGTGCGGGAAATGCTCCAAAAAGAGCACCTCTGTTTTGTTATGGTTGGATTTTGGTTGGAGGCCCTGCTCATGATATTTTGTTGGCGGCTCCCTGCCATCCGGTTGCGAGCAGATGTAGCGGCAACCAACGGCACTATGTCAACTGGGTCCCCTACAGGGATCCGAAAGTCAAAAGCAGGGTGTGCTACCTGCTACGAATAGGAGTTGATCCCAATAGTCCGTCCCTCCCTGCAACATGAGACAGTCAGAGCCATCTACCAAGCATAGATGGGCCATGGTTAGTTCGTTAACTAGTTTGCACATGGATTGTAACTGGGATTAATAGTGGCAGAAATTCTAATCCCTTGGCCCATCCAAGTTGCCATTCATCAAAGGGGTGCACCAGACGCTTGCAATTAATGGAACATGTTCCATGAGTTGAAAGGCCAAGTATTTGAAAACAAGGTCTGCCCGGCCCAAAACCCACAGGATTTCACCATGGACCATGGCAAAAACTGAAGGGGATAATGGTAAGCACAATGGAAATGTGGAAAAAAAACGGAGAGCGATGTCACATATTCGTGAAAATAATGGGCTCAACCAGTTCTGCAGAACCCATGAAACCCCAACAGAACTCCCATGGTTCCCCGCACAGGAAATGATGCTTTATGAGAAGCCCGGCTGATGCTGATTCTACGGGAAAATAGCATATTTCCGGAGGGTATGCCCATGATTTTCATCAGTAGACTATCATTCAGAAGCATCCTATATAAATTGGGAATCCGTATGCTGATTACATAAAAAAAAACATGCTTGGGAAGTATTCCGCTTTGCCCAGATGAATCCAGGTAAGTGATTGGAAACTGGCTCATAACTGAAGTGAAAAAAATATGTTTCGGTTTTGAGGGCAAACATGTGGATAAATATGGATGAATGGCCAGCGGCTGCAGTTCCAACCTTGTTTGTGGAGATTCGCTGGGGCATGAGGGTTCCAAACTGGTCCTTTCAACTGTCATGGATTTAGAAAGGCATTCGGCCTTGCTGCCTGGGGCCGTTTAAAAGATCAGTTGTGACAATGGCAATCGGTACATGAACCAAGCAACATGGGGACTCATTGAATCTTCAAAACTGATGTTAATCAACTGATTCCGTGTAGCCACTGATAACAGATTCTATGCTTTGCAATTCAGCCTGGAGTTGGCTGCGTTTTTCGTAGAAATGTTGCCATTCAACCTGAGGATGCAACCCAACCCCATCCTGCCAGGGATGAAGAAGTGTATGTATAGTGCTTTCCTGGGGTATACATGCCGATTGTTTTCACGGAATTATTGCGAAAATTGTTTGTATTTTCAGTTTGTAAGTTATTTTGTTTTGCCTTGATCTGGCCAACTTTGTCCTGCGTCGTTTGGTATTTGCATCGTGTCTAGCTGAGAAACACATCGTGCACCAATCATCCCCGAGTCTTACAAAACTTCAGGCCGGTTACATGCAGTTGGCCTAATGTGTGGTCCCTTTCACTACCAGGTTGTTCCATTTGAAGCCAAATTTGTTCCCCTGTCCCCACCTAAACCCATTGGTTTTGCTGCTAAAGTTGCTTCAACCCTATATTGGGCAATTCAACAGCAGTTTTTGTTGGTTAGATTTGTTAAAGTTCCTTTTTTATTCAAATTAATTCAAATTGTCAAATTGAAATGTGATTTGCGGGAAGCAAAAACCATCAAAAACCATAAGAAAATGCAGGAAACCGCCGTTTTTCACCTCAAATTTCCAGTTCCCCTTCGCTGCGTAATGGCCATCCCGCCGAGGAAATGGGCTTGCGCCACCATTTTCGAAGACGACGTAGGGCTGGCCACCAACTTCAGTGGTCGGGTAGCTGCTACGGTAGAGCCTGGGATGTTGGGTTCACCACGGGCCAATGGTTTGAACTGGGAGTGTGTGATGGAAACCTGGTTGATGGTTTCAAACATGAGCTTTTATTTTCCATAATATATTGGGAATAATCCTTCCCATTGACGAACTCATATTTTCCAAGATGGTTAAAACCACCAACTAGAAACTGTTAGAAACCATGTGCAAGATGAGTGAGGCCCCCCCCCGGTCTTTGCTGGGTATCTAGCTGAAATTCTCCATGTTGGAAATATGTACCTAGATGACTCGGTGGCTTTGGGGGTAAATGTGGACAAGTATTCCCTACATGAAGCATCTGAGTAAGATGGGCAATGAGGATGGGAGGGGGAGAGATTGCTATTTGACTTTGCTCTGTTGTCAACAAAGGTACGAGCCAGGATCCAACACAGTGATGCCAGCTAGTGATTTACAGCTAGCCACGTTAGGTTTTATTTGGAATTATCCATTATTTGTCAACCAGTATTTCATTATAGTGACGGACAACTACTTAGAACATCATTTGGAAAACAAATCTGAAAATCGTCACAGCGGCGATGTTCTAAGTATGGGTTTCAAAAAAAGTAGTTAGAACATACCCAAAACCTATACTTAGAACATTTCCAAGCTATACTTAGAACATCCCAGTGGGGAACCAATGGGAACCATACATATATGTATGTTCGAAGTATTTGTCCGTCGCTAATTATATGTATATATATACACTATATAATACTATATATAGATATATTTATTTAAGGGCTGCCGCCCCTGCCGCCTAATTTCTGCCGGGGTCGGCGGATATTTATAAACTAATAGGCTAGGGAGAAAGTGTTCTAAGTATGGTGGTCACCAAGGTATTTGTGTGTATATATGCAGATTTACCAAAGTAACAGGACATGTTCTAAGTATATGTGTGTTTTAATGTTCTAAGTATGCAAAAATCAATGGAGATGTTCTAAGTATCTGTTTTTCTGATGTTCTAAGTGCGTACTTAGAAACATTTCTGATGTTCTAAGTATGGTAATTTTGATGTTCTAAGAGGAGGTTTCGAAATTTTGGAAAAATTGATGTTCTAAGTACATGTCCGTCACTATATTGTACACGATGATTATTGTAATACAGTGTGGTGATGGAAAATAATCATGCTTTACAGGCAAAACATCTATCAATGGGCTGTTTTCAATGTTAAATTGCCAGAGGCTATGTCACCATATGTTCCCATATTTTCTAACATGTTGAAATATATGCCTATACGAAAACACATGATTTTCCCAGGGTGCCAACAAAAACCACCCACTAAGGACAGTTTGCCCCCCTTCGATGTGCTCCTTTGGGGCTTTTGCGGCTTGGATGAAATGGTGACACTAAAAATAGCATACTGTAGTTGATTGTTCATGATTTGGAAGCTAAGTACAAGTAGGATTTGATTATCAATTGTAGTAGTGATGTTATAAGGATTTTCACTAGCGTATTGGGATATCATTCATTCGTAAATGAAGATTTATTGATCATGAAATAAGAAGCTATACTACTTGGATTGTTGTGGGTTATGAGCTAACCGCAGGGAAAACTATGAACCAACTCTGTTTTATCAGGAGGGATAGGGGTACTCTTAATGGCTCAAATTCTCTTATGAGGACCGGTCGAAGGGGCATTTCTGTATGGTGTTTCAGGGCATAGGGGGTTTGTATCTTAGTTGGTAGGCTCCGGATACCCTCTGGTAAACTAACATAGCTATGGAAAATCACCATTTTCAATGGGAAAACCGCCTATAAATGGCAATTTTCAATAGCTATGTTTGTTTACCAGAGGGTATTTTGCGTGACAGTGCCACCAGTTGATGGCAAGTATCTTCGACTTTGGTTGGAGGCATGAAGAGGCGGTGGACATTTGCTCCCAACGTTGCAGCTGTGAAGCTGTCGGCTTCAACAACTGTTTGTCACAGAATGCTGCTGGGCTATTGCAATCCCTGAAGGTGATAGTGCTGCTCCGGGCCCAAGCCCGCCTCCGGCGCCAGGCACCCCAGCGACGTCCATGGAGTCGACGTTGGGTGAGTCGATCTAGAAGGCACTGTGGCGCGCCGGTTTGAGACCTCCAATGATGCCTCCCATGCCGGTGGCCGCTCCTGCTGTTGCTGTGAACCGCCCTGTGCCGACAGGCCACAGAAACGTGGGCCTTCGGTGCCTGAATGCAGGAGGTCAGGCATATATGTAAATATATGTAAATATATGTAAATATATGCAAATATATGTAATGTTATGTTAGGCATGGCATGCATGTATGTGTATATGTATGCACATATGCATACATTGCATGTATTGCATGTTTGCATGTCTTTATGCTATGCAGTTTTGTGTTGTGTTCTGTTCTGTTCTCTTGTATTATATATGATGTTTTGTTATGTTATGTTGTGCCATGTTATGTCATGTTATGTTATATTATGTATGGGGCTGCTATACTTTTGTTGGTGGCCATTATCAGCCATGTAATGTAATTCCAATCATGTAGTGACATCCTGACAGCAATTGTTTTTTAGGATTCACCCTTATAAAAATGCTTGATAGTGATGAACAACTTATAACATCCAAATAACCCAATAATCAACCACCAGGTTGTTGTATGTTTGTTGAATCGTGACAGAATCAAATTTCATTTAACATTCGACATTCAGTATCATTTACGGTCACATGTCACAACTCTTTGACAAGCCCTGCCGGTTGCGCACCACATTTCAGGCCCCAGCGGAAGTAAACCACGCCATGAGTCCGCGGACACAACGTCCGTACCCAAAGTGACACTTGGTGCCGCGACGGGGAGATGGTGTGCAGGGAATTTTCTGCAACAGTTCCCTGAACACATTAAACCAGTCCTATTATTGGAGGGAAACCATTTTATTTGATTTGGAGCAACATTTTGAAACAAAAGCTACAGCACTATGGGAAATCTTAAAATGAACAGGAACCATTGATTGTGCTCCTAGGCTTGGGTTTGATCATGGCAGACACATTGGGGGGCAGCAAGCACAATTGGTATTGTTAAGTGCTAGATTGGTTGGAACCTATGGCATATTTGGCGTTAAGTGCCTTCATTTGGATGCTTTCCGTGGTGGCGCAATGCCACGGCGCACAGTCGAAACATCGGGGGTTGGTACAAAGCGTGCAGGCCATTGATTTGAAACAAGGTCCAAAGGGTTTGGGATTCCACAGGGAGATGCAGCAATAAACAGTTTTCAGTTTTACAGTAATATATATACTGTAAAAAACACCGATGCTAAAACTGTAATAAGCTATGTGGGATTTGTTTATAGTGTTAGCCTCGGTGTTTTGTTGAAACCAACCTCCTTTTTCGGGAGGGTGGTTTCATGGAAAAAGTCACAGTGAAATGCATCCTTCGTTTCCATGCCTTTTTACTCGGTATGGTTTTCAGGTCCGCTAAGCTTGACAACTGTGAGGAGGCAACCAATAATTATATAATTACTCATAAATTCTTGTGGAATATATTATGATATTTTCAGTTAGTTAAAACAATTGCCTTTACCAAGCATAGCGGGACAAGAAATGTCCGCATCAGTGGGGTCTATGTGGGTTCCTGAAAAATCGGTAAACTTCAAAATTTTGCCAAGTTCCCCCTTTTGAGAGGTAAACTTGTGATTCCCCAGTAAAGCCAGGGCCATTTTCCAGTCAAGCCCATATGGTTACACCCCCATTCCCCATGAGCTGCCTTTTTACACCTATGAAATCTCCATTGGTGGTTATATCACCATTTAATCAACCAATCCTCAGCTGATCCCAATAACCAACCATCAGTTGCCGAGCTATTATCAACCATATCACCATGGGCCCATGGGTTAAATCAAATCACAATTCCATGAGCTTTAGGATGTAATCTTAAGAGATTTGATACCTTCAATGTATCCCAATTTTCGTTGGTCACATCTCAGCCCCAAATCCCCGTTGAATCCTGACCGCCAGCCAGAAACCATGGCAACCAGTAGGGGATGAACTCACATATTGGGACCATGCAACGGGGGTGTAAATATTGGGAGGATGGGATCAATCTCTGAATGTTTAGCTCGGACACCTTTCCATGTACCCTGGGCACGGCAGCGTCTGCTGCGTCTGCAGTGCCGCAGAAGACAGGTCTGCCGGTCTAAGCCACTGGTCTGGCCAAATCGCTGGAGCGCCGGATTGGCCTCGGGCGAGTGAAAATGCACAGGCTTTCATGTACAGTTGCCAGAATGTCTGGCGCTAGCCTTAAGCAAATGCCAAAGGAATGGTCACTCCAAGTGCTGATCTGTTGAGATTCTTGCACATTGGAGTGCCTTCGCACCAGTGCCGGCAAAGATCCCGAAACACCTTTTAAATGACTCCCTACAAATGAGTCCTTTCGAACAGAGAGCTGCGATCCATCAGGGTCCAGTTCCCATTCGCGGGATTTCGAAAAGGGAACTGCATCGGAGCAATCTTCAAAACACCAAAAGTGATCCCAAGAAAACTAACCGGAACAGCAACTTGATCGTTGATGTCATGAGCTCGAAGCCAATTCTAACAAAGATTGCGGAAACTCAACTGGGTATCCTAAGTTTTGTACAAAGTGTGCAGGATCCATGTCAGTTGAAAGAGTATCAAGAAAACTGTACAAACGGCTCACGCTTTCCTCATCACTGGATTCGATCAGAATGCTCGCAGAAGTTCGTCTGGAAGCTTTGAAATTTGTCTCGCTGAAACATGGCAAAGTAGAGCTGTGTGAAGCGGCATGGCCGATCATCACTGCGACAAACCGCCAGTGAATCAGCGATGCCATTGTGTGTGGCAATCCATTCCTCAAACGGAGATTCACATTTCGCCATGCCAGTATAGTGCATCAACGATGAACCAAAGGTCAGTGTTGTGTTCGTCTAGCGAAGTGCAGTGCCCATCCAGTCGTTGTTGTAAACCTTTTTGGATCTCCAGTGCATCCAGCCAAATGTGCACTTTGACCCCCCAAAGCAAAGACCATCTGATGGCGGCAATGACTGCGGTAAGCTCAGTCTATATAAGCAATATAGTTTGAGGCAGACCCACCAAATGCCCTGAGCCAATCGGTCTATGGCTGGTAGCATTGTGCAGTCCCCATGCCTCTCGTTTTGTCTCAAAACGTCCGTCAGCTGTATGGCTTCCATCTGTAAAAAGATGCTGGGTTCCGGTTCCAGTGCCAGAAGGGGCAGAAACGAAGTCATCAGTGTTGCCTGGCAGACCGAGGAAATAGGCTCGAAGATCATCAATCCACGGCGATCTTTGGCAAAGAAGATGCAAAGCAAGATGCCGCGGCAGTTGATCAAGCTCTTCGGTGAGAAAAACCTGATCCCTTAAGTCCCTATATTTCGGGCAAACCAATTCATGTTCTTGGGCTTGGGGGCATTGGCATTGGTTACAAGGTTTGGTCTTTGTGATGTCAAACTTGCCTTGAGTCCATGCATCCATGAAGGCTCCTGAGTGCAAAGCAGACTGCAGTGAACGCTCGCTCCAACAGGGTCAATGTATAGAGTTGCCCCATTTCACAACATAGCCATCAATGTCGCGCAGACAGCTCATGGAAGCGCGTGTCAATGTGCTGCCAACATAGCAAAGCCACGCATCCTCCAGCAAGTGTCGCAAGAGCATCCATGGTGTCAAAAGCAAGCCATGAGAATGTCCAAGTCGATCTATCACCATGGGAGGGATCCCAATGCTCCAGCCAACACCCCCAAAAGCACACAAAAGGACCATGTGTGATGCAACCATCAAAGGATGATTGCCACAGGCGCCAGCAATCCAAAACTCGAGGAGAACGCCCACATACCCATCGAAAAGTCTGAAAAACTGAAACCAAATGGAAGAATCCAGGGTCTGCGTCCATCTTGTCACTCAAAGAAAAGCGTAGCAAGGCATTTCTTGCTGCATGTTTGCAGCGAAGTGCCTTGTTAGCTGCTTGTCGTAGCTGATGCAAGTAGTTGCCTGCCAGGGGGCATGGGGCTGCTCCATAAAGGGCCGAAGACCAAAAAGCCATCATGAGCCGGTCCCACTTGTCAAGGAGCTTGTCCCCTCTCTGTCGCAAAGCATCATATATTAGAGTTGCCGCCCAACTCTAATGCGTCACACTGCAAAGTTAACCCCAAGATTCGCAGGATTGCCCTGGATGAAGGAGAGGTGCTCCAAAAATACGTTTTCCCAAAGTCCAACAGCAATCCCCAAAGTTGAAAGAAGCAGATGGTGGAGAAAAATGCAGAAACCACACATGTCCAGCTTCAGAAACGTTGTCAACACAGGTAAAAGCATGAACTGAAGGTGCCAAGGCAGTCCTTGCGTACCGCGCTCCGGCATACTCAAGGCAGTCTGGATCTGAAAGGATCTGACAAATTCATCAAGGAACGCCCTCCAAGGTTTCAAAAGTGAGTCGCTGATGCCGATGTGTTCAGCAAGCGCCATCAAGCAATCGCGTCCCATGTTGTTGAAAATTTTCTCAATGTCAGTGCTGCTAAATCTAGAAATTTCATGAAAATTCAATGCCTTGTTGAAGACATACTTCTATGACGCCCTGCAGCTGTAACCAAACTTGTGCACATTCACGGCCAGGCAAAAAAAAACATGTGCGCATGATGGAACAATCTGCCCAGAAATGCTCAAAAGTAGAAGGACATCATGTGCGATACACTGTTCCCAAGATGGCCACCGGTCTGAAGTGGCTGGGCAAATGAGATTGGTCCTGTTTGGCCAAGCTAAGCACTGTGCTGTAAAGCAACTGAGTTGGCCATGGTGTCTCAGCTCCATTGATCTGCGCAAGGAAATCCAAAAGGTTGGAGGTGATGTTGTCTGGCAGGTGTTTCAAGTCAGCCACATCAATGCCATCAACTCCTTTGGCAGGTCTTTGCAGTGAAAAATCGGGTTCTGGGAATTGCAATCGTGGCATGTATGCTTGAATGAATCCCATGATTCGATTCCACTGTTCAGTTCCCACCAGGCTGGCCTTCTGCCATCTCCGCTTCCAAAGATCGATCAGCGCTTGATGCACTTGTGCAACTTCAGAAAAATAGTGGTGGCACTGCAGCAAGTCACCTGGTTCAACATGATGAGGAAGGTCGTGAAGTCCAAGCACGTCCCCATCGCAGTCTCAACTTCAACCTGCGTGTTGTTGATGAACCAAGCGCATCCAGTGAGATCATTCACTGGTTGATCAACATGGATCTGGTGCGTGGCCAGGTCGACCGCCAAGATCGTGTAGCCTTTGGTGTGCCAAAGAATATCCAGTTGGTCACACTTCAATTGCAGTAGCTTTCGACGTTGTCGACAGTGCCTCTGCTCAAAGGCCTCAAAGTTCTTCTTAAAGTCCAAGAAGATTTGCTCAGCAGTGAATCCATCAGGAGGTGCAAGTCGAAAAGTTACAGGGGCTGAAGGCGAACGTATTCTTCTCCGAAGCCACCATACGTGGAAAAATCCATCAAATCCACGTCCTTTCTTGATGGCGGACCACAAGATGAGTCTGCAGACCTCAGCATCCAGCGTCTGCTTGTTGGCGACAGCAGCATGCTTGTAGCTCTGGGGCCTCCGCCCCTGCCTGAACCGCTGCTGGACTTGGGTGGAAACAAGATCCGATCGAAGCTGTCACTTCTCCTTGTCGGGAGGGCTTTGACACCGGCGATGTCAACGAAGCCTTCATTGGTTGAGTGCATTTGGCACGTCCTCTAAAAGTGTGTGGTAGATGACCATCAGGTTGATCTTGCACACATCCATCCAGTGCAGCTTCCCAGTGTTGCGCCCATTCTGCAAAGAACTGAGTAGAGGAGCTGGTGATCAGGTGCTGGTAATCTGCCCAAGTTGTGGTGCCAGGTCTCCTGGTTGATCTTGTCCCATGGAATGGAGGTAGGCCTAAGCCAAGTCAAGGTGCTGGTGATCTTCTCTGGAACCGCAAAGTCAGCAAACAGGGTCACATGGTCAGGGAACATGCTGATGTGCCCAACATATCGGCACATTCTGGCCGCTTCAGGTGACATCCACATCATGTCAACGACTGTGGAGCATTTGCATGTAGGGACAACGGGTTGTTGCCAGCAATGGTTAGCATGTTGTTGTACTTCAATCCAACCGTAGCTTTCCCACAGTTTGAATTCATCCAGTTGCTGCCTAGTGCTATTGAAGTCACCAGCTATGATACGTGGTCCAGTACCACTCACCACCAATCTTGATAAAGTAGCCAAAACTTGATTGGTCAGTCGCTTGCTATCAGGCCAAGTTGGACCAGCAGGAAAACCATAGTAAACGAGGAATTATTATCGCCGTGGTAAACATATGGTAGGTTTTTGTTTTCTCACTTCTTATCCCCATTATAACATTGATTAATAGAAATATGAACTATATTTATCTCAGTATAATGGATATCCCATATATATATCCCCATTATAACGTTGCTTAATATCTAATTTTTAAACATGGATATAGCATGATATAGCCATTAGATCTCCAGTGGAATCGCGAAGAAAGGATGTATGGCTGGCCCGGCAGCTGTGTGCACGCCTACACCGTCAGAACCTGGGCGTCCAAGATCGGGGCTGTGGCTGTTTGATTTTTGATTCGATGCTTGCATGATCCCACTTAGTAACTCTACAAACCAATGAGTTCCCGTAAAATGATCTATGAATAGTGGGTTCTCCATATCTATGTTAGTCCACAGGGTGGTAGCTGTTAGTAAGCATTGTTATGAATTATAAATTATAAATGTATTATAAACCGACATATGGGATTATCCATTGAAGGGACTTCTTAACCAGGTTTTCTAACCAGTTGCGATTCGTGGGACCATCCTCCAAGTGGGAACTCGTTGCCAACAGCGGCACCTTCCGAGGGAACATGTGGGCGGTTTGTCGTGAGTTTTTTGTTCCGAACGTCACGAAGTAGATCCATATTCCAAATGTACGCTTGTATACCCATTAGATTTTTTAATTACACATATTTTAACATTATATATATATGATATTATATATTTTTAAAAAATAATATATATATAATATATATATAATATGTATATAATATATATAATATTAAATATATAATATATAGTATATATAATAAGTATAATATTTATAATATAATTTTTATATATATAATATAATATATTCAATATATATAATATAATATAATATATATAATATATATAATAATATATATATAATATATATAATATTATATATATAATATTTAGTATATATAATAAATATAATATTTATAATATAATTTATATATATAATATAATATATTCAATATATATAATATATATAATAAATATAATATTTATTATATAATTCATATATATAATATAATATATTCAATATATATAATATATATATATATATGTAATATGTATATGTATATATAAACGCACGCCTTTTTGTAATTATATATAGCTTACTTCGCCAAAAAAACATGAATTCACCAGGTCAAAGTCCTGCGCAACGTCCAAGGCTTGCAGGGCGCACATCTCCTGACGTCAGCCAACTCCCCGGTGCGATATCCCCCAGATGGTGCCGCTGGGCGAAACGTATCTGGGGACTTCACCATGGGGAGGCCAAAACCTGGGGGAACTCACCAAAAATTAGCGAATTAAACGTCGCAAATTGAGAAAACTTGGTTGAAATGGAGAAAATTGGACGATTTAAGTAGCACGAATAGTAACCAACAAGCAGATTTCAGCAAGAAGATGAGGGGAATCACGGGGGGTATAGTAGGGAAATCATGGGAATACAAAATGATATTTGATGTATTGTTTTCGCTATTTTCGTGGAGGCATTAACCACCACTAATGAAGAAACACGGGTAGAATATCATCATGTGAAAATCATGGGATTGCTAGTGTTAATACGCATTCACCATCAGATTTGTTGGATGATTGGACTGGGATTTCATGGAGAAATCGGATCGGGGGGTTCACTGGGTTCACCATGAAAAATATCAACTGGCAATTCAACAAAGGGAAATTTTGATCACAGACTGATTGAAGGAGAGCCTTACGCGGAGCTCAAACCGTTTCTCTCAAAAGCGTTCAAAAAGCTGAATGAACTCGGGTTCATTCTGCGACCAGCCTTTTTGCGCCTGGTTTACCCTGCTATTTTTTACAGTTTAACGTTTAAGTTGGTTTGGATGGGAGATAGACATCGAAGGACCCTCTGACAGGGAAGGAATCATTTCGATCATCCTTTGCTTGCGAGGGGAAATGCTCGTTGGGGTAGTTTGCCAATGGGCTCATTTTTGGTGAAAAAATGAAAGACAGTGGCCATATAATTAAGATAACTTGGGTATTTATAATAATGTATATATGTGAATCGCATCCCATAACATGGTTTTCAAGGGGATATCCAAGGCTGGTCATGAATTGTAATTGAATTGTACAGTTTGTGATTCTTTTTGGGGAATTAGATCTATTTCTGTGGGCCATCAGAGTGATATGTAATGCATCACAGGATTTATACAATTGGATTTGTGTTAATCATATTTAATAATTACATATATATATATATGAGTGTAGATTATATATATATATATAAATATATGCATAATGCATATATGCTATATACATATATACAGTATATATATATATGTAAATAATATGCATATGTATATAGATATTTTGTTCCACCGAGTCACAAGGGGTTACCTGTTCCGTGCCGGCCGCTTCAGGCCATGGATGGAAGACATTGGGGCACACGCGTGCGGCCCTACATCGATCGGACTGCCGTGATGGGCGGAAAATTGTGTGGGGATATTCCCTGAAATTCAGGCCTGAAGAATAGGCCTTTTATATATATATATATATAGATAGATAGATAGATGGATAGATGGATAGATAGATAGATATATATATATATATTGTAGGTACCTCCAATCAATCGGTTCCTGACATGGCCATTGAATATGTTTTTAAATTGGGTACTTGGGCCCCACCTTTTCCTCCAAGAGGTGCTTTTGTTTGCCATACATAGGGGGTAAATACGCACACATAATCGGAGTATGTCAGTGTGTTTGTGAATTTGAATGTGCGTGGTATTTCAAAACAAGTGAAACTTTCAAGGACATGATTTTTAGGCATCAAATTTGCGGCAACCCTTTTGCCAGGCGCATACATTTGGTTGCCATAACTGCAGAATCATTCTATATGTTGGCAGGTGCCTATCCAGTATATATATATATATGACCAATCCGGCCGCATAGTCGTCTGAATTCAGCCATACCATGTTTTCAAGTGTTTGGCATTTTTGTGTCTTGCCCAGATTGTGCCTTAATGACAAATAAGAGTATTATGCGTTTAACGATCCATCACGTAGGGCGATTATCTGTAGGTTTTATGGTCGTATCCCTTTCTGAAAATGAAGGTGTATACCACGGCGCCAGTTTTTGTGGATGACCATGCGCAGATACCGCTGTCACCTTGAGAAGTGTTACTGGACGCATCCCCGTTTTCAAAATCGGATCGTGATGTTGGTTCTATATAAGAACCGATCATATCCCATTAAATGATCAGAATGGGATATTTATGGCTTACCCCCTGGTAAACTAACATAGCTATTGAAAATGGCCATAGAAATAGTTGATTTACCCATAAACGTTGTGATTTTCCACAGTTATGTTAGTTTACCGGAGGGTAATTTATCACTTTACGCCAGGTCACGCTTATTGTTCTTCTTCGAAACAGGCCCCGTGCCATTCCTCGCTTGCTACGCTGGCAGGACGCCTGGAAAGTTTACGGGCTCCTATTGGTTTCTTGTCACCGGGGACATCCCCGAAGCAGATGGGCTGGGGAAATCCTCCAACGAAAACATGTTTGATTACCAGAGGGTAACACAGATCAACTGGAAATAGGGTACCTCAAAACTGAAACCAAACATCATCAATTTCCCTATTGAAATGATAATTTGGGGTATGCGCCGTTTTCAGACTCGTACATCATGAAGCCTCCTTTTGGTGTAGGTCTTTGGCTTGTGTTTTGATGTTTTCTCATGTCATCCAGCCGGCTTTTGGTTCAAACAATCGCCCACAATGAGCCCTCCAGTAATTCAACAGTTTGTTATGAATCATAGCCCGTTTTGAATATAATTTACCAATTTACCTATGAAAGATGGTGTGAAGCCATGACTTTGGTCATGGTCTTCCCACCAAAGTGGCTATTCCATTTCCGTTGCAGGGGTCAATCGACAGAATTGACAGTGGATGTCTTTGGGATGATCGATCATCTTACTGGTGCGTTGCGTTTTACGTAGGGTTGCTGGATGGGTTGCTGTGGGTTGCTGGGATGATGAAATTACTAGTGATGGATTGGGATCATTCCCGAAAATTCCCTGCGTAAATCGCACCAGTAAATCATAGTTCATCCATCATAGTTGATCATCATTTCCCCATTAAGTTTCTGAGATTGAACGACCTCACCACGAATTCAGCTGTGTGAGCCATGATTTACTCCGAAAAAACATGTAGTTTTGGGGCTATACTATGTCATAGTCCCAGCTCCAAACTCCTTCACACGAGATGTGCTCGCAGGTATGTCCTGCCAATGATGGCCTATCAGGGTGTGGAAGCCGACAATCTGGGTGGTGGTGTCTAGGAGGGGCCAAAGCATGCCCTGCGAGAAACGCGTAGATCGAAAGCCTCCGAAGCAGGATGACCATTCAAAGGCTCAACGGCAGTGATTTTCACATGTGCAATGGTCAAAAATGGTCATGTTTAATAGCATGTATGAAACATATAAGCGTCTAGAATCAACAGTTTGATGCTATGTCATTATGATAAGAGTGGCGGATGGTCGTCAATCCATGAATAGGCATTTATATAGCCATGCTAAGGATTCCTATGTGGGATTCTTTTCACCCCAGCACACATGGGTAGTTTGTAGTATGAGATAGTGCTAGCCTTCGCTTTCAGATCTTGGTGTTCTTCAAACTAAGCATGCTGAGATCCTGATTTTTTATGACTAGGATTAATGTGGGTAAAGCAATCATAAACCATCCCCCAAATCACCATAAATAGCTGGTATAAACCATTCCTAAATGGGTGGTTGATTGTTTTACCCACATAAATTTAGGTTTAATCCTCAAGCATCCCAGATGTTGCAGGGTTTCTCGCTGCGTTCGGCGATATGGAGGTTTCCTACAATGGGGGTACCCCAATAGCTGGATGGTTTATGAGGGAAAATCCTACTAAAATCGATGATTTGGGGGTACACCCATTTTAATTAGGAAACTTGCAAATGGATTTGAAAATCGGATCGCCTTAAGAATCCACTGGCTAATATTGATATATTGATGAACCATGATGGCTCATCATTTTTCCGATTTGTTCAACGGCCATTGGGGGGCATACCCCATTTCAGACACATCATGACACATCCAAATGGCATGATGCAAGTCTCGACAAATGGTATGATGCTGAAGGGTTCGGGTAAGTTGGCAATGGAACCCTGGTTTCTTAGCTTGCTGCATTCTGGTTATATAGCTGGGTTGTCACCATGGACTCCATGGATAGCAGGTGGCTGGTCGTGGTTATGGCAGAACCGGAGCAACCCAACGAGTTGTCATTCGGCGCTGGAGCCAGTTCCGTTTCATCCGGCGCAGTTGGACCATGGACCTTCGCAGCTGTGAGGGAAGTGTGTGGCATCTCATTTCAAGGGAACATGTGCAAAGAAACCGCAGAGTTTACTAAGTTTACTATTTAAAAATTACTATAGTTTCAAAGGCTCCCATGTTAAGAATTTATGTACCATAGTGTGCTACAGTCTCAGCGTTTCAAGTCAACATGTTCCCTTTAGCTATTTGTTCGGAGGCTCTAACATCTTGCTTCATCATAGTGCAATTTCCCCATATCCAGGGTTGGGCAGAACCTGCTCATTGGCAAACAAAGGTAGGGCAGTGGAAAATGATTACATGTAAATGTTACTCGTACTTGCCATTGTTTGTAGGTTAAGGCAAACTGGTGTATAGACATCCGTGCTTGTCAAGCAATTATTGATATTATGGGATATTTGCAGGAATATCCAGAAATTATATATAGAATCATAAGGGAATCGACTCGAAGAAACATCGAATGAGTAAACTTTTCATAGACAGGGTACCATCCCCGGTTCCCATCCCTGCGCTGCCTCCGCGCGGCTCACGGCTCGACGGCGCAGAGGGTTGCCTTTTTGTGCGGCCGGCGCTTCGGCCGGCGCAGACAGCATGGTTTTTTTGTGCCTTGGTCATCCGGGATATTCCGGGATATTCGATATTAAAGGGATGGGAGTATCAGAAGATTTGATGGGAAACAGTTGGAACAGTGATAAGGGTTGTGGCTGTGGCGTTCATTATGCAGTTGGGACTACACTGCATGTGCACTACACAACTCCCTTTGTTCAAATGTGTTTATGCCTGGTCCCTGTACAGTTCATGCGGGACAACGACCAGAAGCCCCTTATCATGTGGATGGACCTCATGAAAGTTGGGCGCGTTGGCAAAGATGAGCTCAACAACTTGTGCGATTTGCTGGAGGTGGGGCTGCATGGAAGACCAACAGCTGCTTGCGCTGTGGTGATTGCCCCCTATCTGGTGAGTGAAACGGTCACGAATGGATTGCAAGGTGAGATCCGACGGGTGGAAGACAAGTTGGATGCCAAGGGCATCATGTCCACTGCATTTTCTATCCGTTGCGCTGCCCCACCGAGCAACAAACGAGTGCCTTGGGTTTTCACAGCTTGGGTTTGCCTATGTGAAAGTGGTCGAGATGAGAACCTGTTCAAGTCATGCCAGTTGATTTGCGACAGGACTGGGTTTCCAATCCGAAGCCAAACTGTCCACTGCCATTCCATTGCCAGGACCATTCACTATCCACTGTAGCCCCCAATGCAGTTTCCAGTTGTTGTTCTTCATGAACTGCCGAGGCTCCAGGTAGTCACTAGTTTACCTCTGAGCGATTGTCAGCCCTTCAGTACTCATTATCATTTGATTTCTGTGTACTCTGCCCATTTCATGGTGGATCTATAGTTTTGGTGGTCCACCATGTTTTTTTTACACCAGTTTGGCTCATGACATGGCGGTGCTACCCCCCTGTCTTGTTTTGTTTGTTTCTTTTGTTGGTTTCTTCGTTTCTTTGTTTCTTTCTTTGTTTATACTTGTTTGTTTGTTCTTTTTCGTTCGTTCGTTCTTTTGTTTGTGATTATAGAATTTTACCAGTAGTACCGCACAAGGCGGTGGCGGAAGTTTCAAAAATAGGAAACCTATAGGAGAGGTTGGTTGTTGTGAATCAGGGATGGCAGAGCGAAGCCAGTGATGGAGTGAAAGGTGATTGATCTCTCTCACTATTTCTCTCTCTTTCTCTGACTATCTATCTATCTATCTATCTATCTATCTTTCTATCTATCTATCTATCTATCTACTTGTTGTGGTATTTTATGTGCTTCGCGCCACAACGGCGTGCACTTTTTCATCTCTCATCTGGCTAGCTGGCTCCGCACCCGCCGCTTTAGCGAGATTACTTTTCGACCCTCCGGAGCCCCAAATTATTGGAAAAACACAGTGTTTCGCGACTTTCCTACCTTTTCGCGCATCTGCATCTTCTTTCTTCTGACTCTTTCTCTTCTCTGATCTTCTCTCTTCTAATCTTTCTCTTCTCTCTGCCTCTGCCCTGCTCTGCTTTTCATCTGTCCATGCATTTCTGCCAGTTGCAACCACGCGTGAACCACATTTCAGGATCAATTTCCACCGGCAACTTCTCCGTGTACTCCATGGCAGGATTGCGGTCAGAAAAGACACACAACCCGGGTAAGATTGCGGTCAGAAAAGACACACAATCAAACAGAAGCAACAGAATTGTGTTTTGTACATTTTGACTTGGAAATGTGCTTCGCGCCACAACGACGTGCACTTTTTCAACATCTCGACTTCCAAAAGTGGTCCGAACCCCTAGTGTTTTGTACATTTTGATTCGAAATGTGCTTCGCGCCACAACAGCGTGCACTTTTTCGACATCGCAACTTCCAAAAGTGGTCCGAACCCCTGGTGTTTTGTACATTTTGACTTGGAAATGTGCTTCGCGCCACAACGGCGTGCACTTTTTTGACATCTCAACTTCCAAAAGTGGTCCGAGACCGCCAGTTTTTAACACTTTTGACTTCAAAATGTGCTTCGCGCCACAACGACGTGCACTTTTTTGACATCTCAACTTCCAAAAGTGGTCCGAGACCGCCAGTTTTTAACACTTTTGACTTCGAAATGTGCTTCGCGCCACAACGGCGAGCAATTTTTCATCGCTCCTGTGGCCAGCTGGCTCCGCACCCGCCGCTCTAGCGAGCCTACTTTTCGACCCTCCGGAGCCACAAATCATTGGAAAAACACAGTGTTTCGCGACTTTCCTACCTTTTCGCGCATCTGTATCTTCTGTCTTCTTACTCTTTCTCTTCTGATCTTCTCTCTTCTAATCTTCCTCTTCTCTCTGCCTCTGCCCTGCTCTGCTTTTCATCTCTCCATATTGTCGGAAGTTTGACTTCTAAACTTCCTTCGATAAGCCCATCTAACTATAGATATTCATTTGCCTACACCCGGCAGCTAAATGAGCTACAAACCAAATATTGCCGGCACCACATGGTATGACCATTCAAAATGCCTGCGTTGTCGCCCAAGTTTTAGACAGCGGATCGGCCATTTGTTGCGAGACACTGGGTACCACCACCAGAGAAGCCTGAAGAAAGAGACATCACATTGATAGCCCCTTGTGGTGCCAGGGGGGGATGTTGGACCCCTGTCAAGGAACCCAACTGGGGAACCACAAGTGCCGGAAATGAAATTAAGGAACCCACCTCCATAATCCCTTCAATCATCAGCAAATTCCTAAGAATAAAATCAAGGACTGTCAAATAGTGAAAGGACTGTCAAAAACAACAACAGGCCCCCAAGGTCCTACTACCTACTCTGACCTAAAGTTAGCTGGGAGGGTTTGATTGTACAGCAACAATTCTGCCCAGCAAATCCATGATTACAGATATTGCTGCATTTTTAGCTGTCAACATCTGTCAACTAACCTTTACTTGGGATGACGACAGTCGATCTGGGTTTGGATATCTTGACATTTGGTTGTCGAAGTCTATGGCCCCAACACGTAGATGGGAGTTTTCGGCGGTATTCTTGAAACCTATATGGTTTTGACGTTGGTTAAGGACATCACAAACCGACTCTCTCTTTATTACTTTTCAAACTTATACAAAACACATTATTCCTAAATGTATTGCAGATGACACAAAAAAATAGCAGAGTCCCAACCTATTGCCCGTCCAACAGCAGAACTTTTTGAGATCTTGATCACAAGCCCCCAAAGAAAAAACATTTGAATACATAAATGTTATCTTTATAAAAATATTCTATGCTCAAGCTCCATGATTTTATTTTGGAGCACCCCGCAGGGCTCATTGATGAATTGCTAAGAATTTTAGTGTTGGTTTCGTTTGTTCCCATTCCAACTGCCACCTCCCTCATACTTCTTATTTTTTCCACATGTTTTTCATGCCTTTTTTTTCAAATGTCTTTCTGGATGCTAAAAGAAAAAACCCAGCAGATGGTGAGCTTCAGGAAGACCCCCGCATTC